GACGAACAAATTCAATGATCCCCTACAGTCTATACTACATAGCATCGTTAAAAAACACCAGCTCAAAAGGAATAGGTCGCTACTGATCCTGATGTACCGTGTCGGCGCCGAAAGCTTCCATAATACTTTCAGCACTTTTAGGCCTCGCACTAGCAAAACATTGCGAAGTCTAAACTTTGCTCCTTTTCCCAAACAACCAAAGACAAATGCTCTATAACAAATTCAGAGTTTCAAACGTTGTATTTACGGCTCTTAGTCTTTTTTCATAATAGAGAAATATACTTGTGGATATCTTACAGCCGGTAACTACATCTAAGTAGTTAAGTTTACGCGCGACAGGACATTTTCAGAATGTACATATATAATTTTAACTACGTAACGCGCCACAGGTCCTTTTTTATATATTTTGAATAGTTTCGAACTACAAACCCAGCAATGCTGCTTGACAGTTTGTAATCTGCCTATCTTTGTAATAGATTTTGTAGATATTTCGAGATTATGTTCAGTACTGTCATTAAACGGCGTACACATGAGGTGCGTGTACGTCTTGTTTCGAGCCTAGCTTGCCTCATGTGCCCTGAAGTTTATTAGGCGAGTATTTTGGCAGTCCAAGTAATAATAATGTTAACATTATGTCAGAGTCTCCGGACAGCTCTTTATGCAAACATCTTATTTAGCCTTTGAATTTCGATCACTTCTAGCGGTTTTATCTTCTCTCTGGTGCGGAGAAGGAGTCTGATATATTAGCAGATGATTGGAGTTTACGAAACATAGAATGTATTTCAAATATCGGTCGAAGAAATAGGCTAATTCTATCTACGTCGCATCTAAATGCTACTCTACGAGCGAAACGACCGTTCAGTGGCATAATAGCATCAGTGTTTCGTTACATACGCTCGGCAAACATAAAAAGAGAGAGACAAAGGAATTCCAAGACTTGCTGATTTTTTTAATTTCAACGCATCCAAAAAGAAGATCAACTGTAATTGGTATTAATCCAACTATTAACTGGATCACATGGAGATTTAAGTTGAACTCCAACAATATTGTGACTTATAGATCTTGCACCGAGTTTAATTCAGTCACAGTCACATAATTTATTATTTATAATTATGAGGCCGTTTGTGAGAGCGTGTAGCCATACACTTTTAAAGTGACTGAGGTATCATATCAGTGGCCCAATATTGCGTATATACGCTTCGATTTCCTGTCGTAGTCGCAAACGATCGCTGTCACCGTAGAAGGATCGCTCAGCTTTGAGTCATCAATATAAAATGTTAAACCTTGGCTCAAAACTGTTTAAATCGAGAATAAAAACATAAGAACCGAGGGAAGAACTTTTAGCCACACTTAAAAAGCACATCTATCTAAAATTTAACGAGTCACTAACAAACGTTGATTCGTCATATACTTCTGATTCAGTTTATAAAGCAGTCATTAACTCCCAGTTTAACGAGTCTCATAATATGTGATTAACGCGGTAAGAAGCGTCGTAATAGTCAAAGTTAGATTTCTCGTAATTACTTTGAAATAACGCCAAGTCTTCGGTTATTGTAACACGCTGCTTTGCAAACACCTATTAGTTGATACCAAAGCGTGGTCCCAACGCGAAGAAAGTTAAAATGTGGTCGGCTATTTCTTCAACTAAACAAACTGTAAGCTCTGAGCTACTAAACGATGCCTGTTACAGTCACTTATTATCATCAAAAATCAATATACTGTTATAACAGCTACGTTGTTCGTAAAGAGAGACGGACTGTATCTCACTAAAGAATCCTCAACGTATGCAATTCAGCACTGATGCTGAAAAACAATGAAACGACGTACCCGCCTGGCAGAATCTGTCAGAACAGAAAATAACCGTAGGAAGTCTTCGGCTTGTATAAAAACTATGCATTATATAATCCCATAACAAAGCCGTTTCTCTTGGGTAATTTACTATCGTTACGTTTGTTGTACAATCCATATATATATATATATATATATATATATATATATATATATACGCACAAAGTCCACGATCATACGGGAATTACGTTGTTGTGTAATCGCTTCCATTTGTCGAATATGACCAAGTGCGCGATTCGGACTGTACAGTACGTCAAAGTATTAACGCAATTGAGATCTGCTCTGTGCTGGTTATTGTTACTACACTATAGTCGCACTATTTATCAACTTATTTGTCAAAACCGCGGAGTCATCGCGCTAATTTAATATGTTTCTAATGTATCGTCAGTAAATATAGCTCAACATTATGTAATTCAATATTATATAGGTTATTGCGCGCTTACATTAAGCAACCCAAGTGTCACCCAATGGGGTTCTTTGTAAATACGCGAATTTGATCTGTCTTCCACGGAATTAAGCGGCCAATTGGAAACGAGCTAGCCACGGAGACATGTATACTATAGAGTTTACCGTTCACTTCTAAACTGTATGTTGAGCTCACGTCAGTTCCATTTTGAATTTCGATTCACTCCCTACTGCGGCTATATTCATAGATGACAAAAAGATTTGTCATATTGCATATATATATAGTTCAGTCGACAGAAAGCGCTGAATCTACGTATCATACGTTTTACCATATATAGGGTGAGCGTTTTATAATTACAGGGTCGAGACGTTACCCCCGCGCATATGAAAGAGGACGTCATTGCCTCCTTTGGACCCGATGATACGATTTGTGGCGGGGTACGTGCGACTAATGGCAAGAAGTACACACTGAGCCTTAGAGAAGCTTGTCGGCGGCCCAAAAGCTATCATCAACCTTACTTTTGGTGCTCCCATCATCGTGGCAGGAAACTTCGTCTAACGCTCGCATTTCCACACGTTTGCCAGTTCCGCAAAATAGGCTCCTGGAGCATTATTGCTAAGTGGTCAATGTCAAGACAATACCAGTTTTTGTCGGCCCAACAGGAAACTCTGCCACATACAATGAACGCGAGGTGGGATTCAATCAAATACATGGGTAGGAATTACGCTCTTTCTGAAAAAGGACAGCTCCATATGCGCATTTCGAATGCGCACGTCGAATTAGATCCCAAGGTTCCCTTGTGGCCATCATTCGCTAGTAAATATAAGTCTTTCCCGCGTAAACAGGACACGAAGAAACTCGCGTAATAGGCTCGTGAGATTCTCTCAGTGCCAAACATGACCGATGTTGGAGTCTACACACAACATCTTGTCGGCTGTTGGCAATAATACATCGAACACTGAGTTGGAGTGTTCTCATCTAATGACACCCCTGCGTCTCAGGGAGCGTATGATGAACAAACACCTGTTGAACGAAACGTACGACGTCAGGAGCAACCGTTTACCTCTAACGAAGGCAGCTGGAGCGAACAGAATTCTGAATCTAAGGCCGCCATAGAACTAGTGCGACGCTAGACCACTTCCTCTTCAACAGTGCGGTACAACGTTGCTCGTTACCCCCAAAAGTAAAAGCGAGCCGAGCCAACCGACGTCGTGGAATTAGATCGCTAAGAAAAGGGTCTGCTATAAATTTCTCTTGTATCTGTTAATGAGCACAGCTAAACACATTGTTAGAGTGTTAGTGCAATACCCGAAAAAAAAAACGAAATCAGAAGGAATTGTTCGATCGCTGTGACATGCAAGATGCTAGTGACCGACATCAAGCGAGCTCTAAGTACACCTCGGCAATATACCTATACAATGTCTGTGCACTTCGCAGCTTTCGAGTATGCGCCGAAGAATTTAACTAACACTCGAGCCAACGTTGGCATTCCCTTCAACGTACTTAATACTGGCGATACTCCACAAAAACAAATTGACAATCGACAATGGGTGTCGGAGCTGCTAGTGTTCTTTCAGACTGCAGGTGTTGCTCAGAATTCTAGCTAAAGCCTTCTTCTTTCCTCAGTCCGGTAAATGTGATCTGCCCGACAAAATAGGTGAATCTGTGAAATGACGTAAATTAGCCTTTATGTTAATGGCTCTGTTTTTTATGGAACTAGTCGTTTTCATGTGTAGCAGGTCTACGCCAAGTTACATTCTGCCATCTTAAGTTGAGTTTGACCGTCAAGCTAACGAAAACCGAGGTAATGAAATCCAGGAGAGGTAATGAGGTGTGGCTTGTAGTACACGATATCTTTGTAGAGGACTATTGACATGTCACCTGCCTTAACTTGACTGCTGCTTTTTTATAGCGGCAATAGTTTCTTTCAGCATATCACAGAAAAATGCAGAAATATTTTGATAGCTTATCTACGATATTTACCCTCCAGCAACTGCCCTGTCAACCGGTTTGTGAAATTTCGAATTAAAGTTGTACCCGTCCCCACATACGCTATAAAGAATAATTCGGAAAAACATCACTATGGAGAGTCTCGAGCAACTGAACCAGAAAAAGGCTTTATTCTTCGATAATCTTACGATCACACTAGACTATTCGCAACAGGCTTGTCTATTTACTGGAGACGACGCTACTATTTGCGTAAAGCCTAAAAAGGACTTGACCAGTCTAACAAACATGTACTGATACGTTATCTAATTCACAACTTCCACTCTCGTCTATATAGAGTACACGAGTTTCATGAATAATTTAGGGAAGTTTGCGATTTGCTCATATATATGGTATGGCTCTTGATGCTCACAAGTGAGCAGCCTAGCTTGGTAAAAAAGATCGGAGTAACATGATGTTTCACTCAATCATTGGCAGGTCCTTAATAATTTTATTTGGAATTATGAATTTTAGGTCGATTACTTTAGAAACTGTCTTATATTTTTAGCTTTAGATCGACTCGTGAAGCTGTCATATATATGGTATAATGTAATATGTCAGGTTCCTTGTGCGAAATATATGTAATTCAAGTAATTAAATGCTAGCTCTTGTAAAGGTGAATAAATGAGCAGTTGCATCATAT